TTCCTCCTTTTCCACCTCCTCTTCCTCCTCCTCCTGACGGGAGCGGCCGGTGCACCCGTTGCCGAAAGGGGAGCAGATGCAGGAAATGGCCTGCTCCATGGGGGTGGTGAAGGGCGGGAGAGCACGAGCGGAAGGTGGATTTTGCCCTTCCCCTTCCAGCCCCATCCGGCTTCCTGAAAAGTCTGGTGGCGCGGTGGGTGTGAGGGGCCCGGGGGCCCCCATCTACCTCACCTTCCTTTTCCAGGAAAGGGCGCGGGTCCAGGATTCTCTTTTAGAGGTTTACCCCTGGAGTCGACGGGAAGAGGGCCAGCGAAACTATTTGCGGTAAATAACGAGGCGGGAAAATGGCCGGCGACATTTGCTTGAGGATGTCCCGAGCGAAACGCTGTTTTTCCCCAGAATGTGTTGAGGATGTTTCGAGCGAGACGCTTGGTTTGTGTTATAGGTGGGTCTTCTCCTGGGGACCAGAGTTCAGAGGATGTCTCAGACGAAATGCTTGTTTTCACGTGCCCAGATCTTGAGGTTGTCTCGAGCGAGACGCTTGGTTTCACGCGTCCAGGTTGCCCAGGCAAATGTCTAGCATGAGGATTTGTTGAGGATGTCTCGAGCGAGACGCTTGTTTTCACGCGTCCAGGTCGCCCAGGTGGATGTCTAGCATGAGGATGTGTTGAGGAAGTCTCGATCGAGACGCTTGTTTGCACGTGTCCAGGTTGCTCAGGCGGATGTCTAGCATTAGGATGTCCCGTGGCGAGTCCCCCTTGCATGTCGCGCGGCGCGTCCCCTGGCACGTCCCGTGGCACGTCCATTGGCACGTTCCATAGCGCGTCCTCTTGGCACGCATGTCCCGCGGTGCGTCCCTATGGCACTTCCCCTGGCACGTCGCTTGGCGCGTCCCTTGGGGCGTTCTGCGGCGTGTCCCCCTGGCGTGTCCCCCTGTCAATTTGCTCTGGGACAGCTACTATGTGCTCAGGCAGTTCGAGCTTAAGATCCAGATCAGTTCAGTCAGGTCGGATGCAAAAGAGGACCCGATCCACATCGCTATAGAGCAGAATCGCGGCATGGCACATCGCGATTCAGCACTGCTCAGCACAGCACAGCCCTCGGCACGGTACATCAAGATCGATACACTCAGCATTGCATCCTGGCACGTTCTTTGGCACGTTCCGTGGCGCGCGTCCCCTGGCACGTCCCGTGGCACGTCCATTGGCACGTTCTGTAGCGCGTCCCCTTGGCACGTCCCGCGGTGCGTCCCCATGGCACGTCCCCTGGCACGTCGCCTGGCGCGTCCCTTGGGACGTTCCGCGGCGCGTCCCACTGGCGTGTCTCCCTGTCAATTTGCTCTGGGACAGCTACTATGCGCTCAGGCAGTTCGAGCTTAAGATCCAAATCAGTTCGGTCAGGACTCGGGGATGCAAAGGAGGACTCGAATTCAGCACGGCGCAGCACAGCACAGCCCTCGGCACGGTACATCAAGATCGATACACTCAGCCTTGCATTTGCCCGTCTCCTCCCAGCCCCTGAAAAGTTTTTGGCCAGCGGCAAAACGGAATTTCCACTGATGCTCTCGATGTCCTGTCTGCTGCAACGGCCTTTCTCTGGTTCAGGGAGGTCGTGGGGATGGGGGGAGCCACCCAAACGGCTGAGCAGCGTGTCCGACGATACCATGTTGAGTTGTAGGTGCGGACTCAAACGCGTCGCTACCAGGGCCGGGTCGCAGGGTTTGGCAACCTTTGGCGAAGACTTTTCTCTGAACCTCCACTGAGACGCCAGGAGAGCGGCGCAGCAACATGGGTTCGACCGCGCCGACGTTCGCGCGTAAGCTGCCCGCGTGAGGTCGTGCGTATTCGCTCTCGTTTCCAGTGTGGCGTGCCGCGCTGGCTGTCCGCGTAAGCCACCGCAGAAGGTCGCCATGCCATCCCGGGTAAGACCAGCTGATTTTCGTCGATCAGGTGGATATTCGCGAGACATGGCGCGCAGACGCAGGGTAAGTCAGATGGGCAATGGCTTGCTGGTGTGCTTCAGGGTGCACGGGCTCTTGGCGACGGCGTGCCAATCACAGTGGGGAAACTGGCGGCGGTGATGTGCTCATGGCCATCGGTTGTGTTGTACGAGCCTTTGGACACTGCACCGTGCTGTGGATGTTACCTATGACTGCAACCGAGTAGTGTTCACGTTCTCCTCTTCATTATGCGAGCGCTCTGCACGATTGCGTGCACAAAGCACTATTGCGTTGGGTTGCAGAATGCCTCTTCTCCACCTGGTTCCTTTTGAATCCTTGCCCCTTTCTCCTCCATCCCTCCTCCCTCCTCCCTCCTCCCTCCGCCGTCCTTCGTTCTCCGTTCTCCGTCCAACTCAACGTCCGCCCCCAACCTGTCATTCTCCTTCTCCTCCTCGCTATTCCTCCTCTCCTACTTCTCTTCCCTTCTCCCTCTTTTTTTCAGTCGAGCCCTTGTCCAAGAAGGAGGTCTGTTTCATTGTCTGTCCCTCTTTCCATCGGTCCTCATTTACTCGCCTATCTGCTGGTGGGGGAAGTCGTTGCAGCCGAGACATCCAGCAATGCTCGTGGATGGACAGATTTGGTGCTCGAAGCGTTCGAGATTATGCAATTGCACTGCTACAGGGGGCGGGAAGCTCCATAGGCTTGCCTCTGAATGTCCTGGTGGTGTGTGGGCACCGACAGTGATCGAGAGGCCCTGAGATGAATGGCAGATTGAGCGACGCAGAGAGACGGATCCGTCTTCACCGACGTTGGCGCGTAAGCTGCCCGCGTAAGGCTGCGCATGAGCGCCCTCGTTTCCAATGTAGCGTGCCGTGCTGGCGGCCCGCGTGAGCTGCGGCGTAAGATCGCTGTTCCATCCCGCGTAAGGCCCGCTTCTGATCGTCGCTCAATTGACAGCCCTCGGGTGCTTCGGCCAAGCTCAGTCCTCCACGTCTGAGTGCACCTCCTCCCCCCCTCCCCCTGCGCGGCCGCCCTCGTCCAATTCCCTCTCCTGCATGCCGGTCAATTAGCCCTTCGGTCGCCCCGCACTGCCACGCGCTGGAGCGGACCGCCTCTGCCTCGCTGCCGACGGAAAAGTTTCGGCCAAGCTCTGGCCCTTCGGAGACACCATGGGGCCCCTCCAGACTCGCCCCAGGAGGCGCAGCCAAAGGCACAGACCAGGGGCTCGGCCACGGGGCCGCAGCGCGTCGAGCTGCTGCGACTGCGCCCTCCTCATTCTTCGCAGCCCCCCCCCTCCCGCCGAGGAGAAGAAGCTGTGGTTCCGAAAAGGCGAGGCCGACGACCTTCACAAGAGGGACGCTGGCTGGGCCGGGCCACCGCGGATCGTTGTCGTTGTCGCGGTCGTTGTCGTCGCAGCAGGAGGGGGAGGGAGGAGGAGGAGGAGGAGGAGGAGGAGGTTGAGGAGAAGGAGGAGGAGGAGGAGGAGGAGAAGGAAGAGGAGGTGGATGAGTAAAAGCCATAAGGAAGAGGATGATGATGAGGAGGAGGAGGCGAAGGATGAGGAGAAGGAGATGAGGGAGGGAGGGAGACGAGCAGTACGCTAAGGAATAGATGACGACGGCGATGCTGATGCTGATGCTGATGCTGATGCTGATGTTGATGATGCTGATGCTGATGCTGATGCTGCTGCTGCTGCTGATGATGATGATGATGATGATGATGACGATGTTGATGCTGATGCTGATGATGCTGATGATGATGATACGCATACGTATGCGGTGTTGATGCTGATTTTTGATTGTGATGTTGCTGACGCTGATGATGCTAACTAGGAGGAGGAGGAGGCCCAGCAACGATGGCTCAGGCGGGAGGAGGCTGAGGAGGTGGACGATAGTACGATACTGGTGATGATGACGATGACTATAAAGGTGATTCTGATGCTGGTGGCGGTGACGACACGGACGATCATGAATGTCTTGAGGATGGTGATGGTAATGATGAGGGTTACGCTGCTGATGTTGACGCTGCCGATGACGATGATTTCGCTGTGGATGATGCTGGTGACGATGACGATTCTGGGGACATTGTAGGTGATGATGCGGGTGATGATGTTTACAACGTTTCAGACGTCGATTCCGATGACGAGCATCACGGTGATCAGGATGATGATGACGATTGGGATGATGGTAGCAATGCTGACGCTGCTGAGGATGATGGAATCTAATGCTGATGATGGTGGCGATGACGACGACAATGACGGTGATGACGATGATGACGCCGCCGCCGATAATGATGATGCTGATGGAGTCGATGATGCTGATGATGGTGATGATGCTGATGATGATTCTGTTGGTTTTGGTTGTGTCGGTAATGATGATGCTGATAATGACGATGATGACGATGATGATGATGATGATGATGATGATGATGATTATGATGATGATTTGGATGATTATGCTGATGCTGATGCTGGTGCTACTGCTGCTGATGCTGCTGCTGATGATGATGGTGAGGTTGGCGGTGGTGGTGTCGATGATATTGACGATGACGATGACGATGACGATGATGACGATGATGATGATGCTGATGATGATGATGATGGTGATGACGATGATGCTGATGATGATGCTGATGATGATGATGGAGATGATGATGCTGATGATGATGCTGCTTCTGCAGATCATGCTGCTGATGATGATGATGGAGATGATGATGATGCTGCTGCTGATGGTAATCACGATGATGACGATGACGATGCTGCTGATACTTCTGTATCTGATGACTGGGATGATGCTGATGATTATGACGATGGTCATGATCATGCCGCTGCTGATGGTGATGATGATGCTGATGATGCTGATGATACTGATCTGAATTGTGATGATTATGATGATGATGCTAATACTGATACTAATTATGATGATGATGATGATGATGATGATGATGATGATGATGATGATGATGATGATGATGATGATGATGATGATGATGATGATGATGATGATGATGATGATGTCGATGACGATGTCGATGGTGATGCGGACGATGATGCATATCATGCTGCTGCTGATCATGATGATGATGATGATGATGATGCTGCTGCTGCCGTTGGGACTGGTGTGGATGCTGATGATGCGGATGCCGCTGCTGATAATATTGATGTTGGTGACGATGATGCTGCTGATGATGATGATGATGATTATGAGGATGCTGCTGCTGCTGCTGCTGATGATGATCATGATGATGATGCTGATGAAGATGATGCTCATAAGGTTGGTGGCGGTGGTGGTGATGCTGTTGACGATCCTGAGGATCCTGATTATGAAGATGTTACTGCAACTCATGGAGGTGATGGTGATGATGATGCTGATCCTGATGCTGGTGCTACTGCTGCTGCTGCTGCTGCTGATGATGATGATGATGATGATGATGATGATTATGGCGCCGATGATGATGGTGATGATGATGATGATGATGATGCTGGCGCTGATGATGATGCTGACGATGCCGATCACGGTGATGATGCTGACGATGCTACTTATGACGCTGCAGCTGATGATGCTGAGGATGCTGATGGTTGTGGTAATACTGGTGCAGATGCTGCTGCAGATGATGCTGCTGATGATGATGATGATAGTGATGATGATGCTGATGCTGTTGCTGATGCTGATGCTGATGGTGGTAATTGATGATGATGCTGATGATGATGACGATGATGCTGATACTGGTGATGATAAAGATGATGCTGATGATGATGCTGATGATGATGATGATGATGACGACAATGATGACGATGGTGCTGTTGGTGGCTGTGGCGGTGATGCGAAGATGATGGTGGTGCTGCCGATGAGGGTGAGGGTGAGGGTCAGGATGAGGATGAGGATGTTGTCTCTGATGGTGATGGTGATGAGGATGAGGCCGACATTCGAGTAACCCTGTCGCGCCCACACCACCCTGTCTCTTCCCTTGCCCAGGAATAGCCCTGTCTCCTCATCGCCCTGCTCTTCGTCTATCCATCCTCTTTCCTCGAAGTCCGCGCCGTCCTCTTCATAAGGATCCCCATCCTTCCCCCAGCACGTCCGTCCCCTCGCGCCTCGCCCGTCGCCCCCATTGGCCACCTCGCCTTCTCTTCAAACTGGTCTTCTTTTCCCCCTCCTCGACCGCCCCAGCCCTCATTGCCTGCCTTGCCACTGCTGCTCCTTCATCCTCTTTGTCGCCCATCTCGTCCCGACACCGACCCCGTCGTGGACCACGTCCTCGCCCTCAGCCTCGGCTTCGTTCTCGTCGCTGCCGTCGCACTCGTCGTCGTCGTCGCCGCTGTCGTCGAAGGCGTCGTTGTTGCCGAAGTTCTTCTCTCCTCCTCGAAGTGGGAGGTGCGTGAGGGCGCGTGGTTTTGAAACGGATGCATGTCGTGTGACAGTATTCGCCGGAGTGGCATTGGCGCTTGTTTGGCACACCTTCCCCCCATGCCCCTCCATTTTCCCCTCCAACTGCCGCCCTCCCAAGGTCCTTTCTCACTTCCCAAGTGGCGAGGGGCGAGGTGAGGGTCGAGACGGGGGAAGGGTTGATGATGAGAAGGAGGAGGGACGTGAAGAATGAGGCGCCCGCCGATTATAGTGGTGGCTTTGGTTTGATGATGCTGGTGAGTGTGATGATGATGATGCTGATGATGATACAGGTGATGACAATGATGATGATGCTGATGATGATGATGATGTTGCTGTTGCTGCTGTTGAGGATGATGACGGTGATGATGATGACGATGCAGATGATGCTGATGATGATCAGGAGGAAGAGGATGATCATGCCGATGGCTATCATGATTATGCTGCTGATGCTGCTCCTGATGATGACGTTGAGGATGATGATGCTGATCATGATGATGAGATGATGATGATGATGATGATGATGATGATGATGAGGATGATGCGGGTGATGATGAAGATTGCGATGCAGATGCTGTTGATGGTGTTGGTGTTGATGCCGACGATGATGACAACGACGACGCGATTATGATGATGCTGATGATGACACTGATGATGATGGTGATGAGGATGATGAGGATGATGATGACGATGATGCTCATGATGATGACGATGGTGAGGGTGACCATGCTAATGCTGCTGTTGATGATGATAACGATGATGCTGATGACGATGATGATGATGAGGGTGATGATGCTAACGATGATGCTGAGGATGGTGATACTTATGATGATGCTGATGATGAAGATGATGATGATGATGATGATGCTGATGATGATGATGATGATGATGATGTTGAAGATGCTGAGGATGATGATGGCGATGCATATGCTGGTGATTTTGTTGATAATGCCCCGACGACGACAACGACGGCGGTGGCGATGAAAATGATGCCGATGCTGCTGATGATGATGACGATGATGATGCTGATGATGATGAGGAGGAGAAGGAGGATGATGCTGATGATGTTGATGATGCTGCTGCTGTTGATGATGATGTTCATGCTGACGATCATGATACAGATGAAAACGATGACGATGACGATGACGATTCCAATGTTGCTGCTGACGATGCTACATATGATGTGCTCCTGACGATGGTGCTACTGCTGCTGTTGAGGCTGATGTAGTTGCTGATAATGCTGATTCGGCTGCTGCTGCTGATGATGTTGCAGATGCTGATATGGTGATGCTGAGGCTGATGATGATGATGATGATGATGATGATGATGATGCTGATACTGATGATGAGGATGCTGATGCTGATGAATACGATGACGACGACGGCCGCGAGGATGATGCTGCTGATGAGATGTTGCTGATGCTGCTGATGCTGATAATGGTGGTGATAATGATGATGATGATGATGATGATGATGATGATGATGATGATGATGATGATGATGATGATGATGATGACGATGTGATGATGATGATGATGATGATGATGATGATGATGATGATGATGGTGATAATGATGATGATGATCATGATGATGATGACAATGAGAACAAGGATGACGATATTCCTGCTGCTGATGAGGATGCCGATCTCATGCTGACGCTGATGATGATGAAGATGCTGATGATGATGCTGCTGATGATGCTGCTGTTGGTGATATTCCGATGATGCTGATGAGGATGATGATGATGCTGGTGATGATGATGCTGATGATGCTGATGATGACGATGATGATGAGGGTGATGATGCTGCTGATGCTGCTGATGTGGGTGCCATCGATGATGGTACTGATGCTGATGATGCTGCTGATGATGATGCTGATGATGACGATGACGTTGATGATGCTGATGCTGATGATGATGATGCTGCTGATGAGGATGAGTAGGAGCATAATGATGATGATGCTTAGTGGTGGT